CGTGTGCTATGCTCGGCACACATGCCGGGGGTTGTCAACCCCAGTGCTAGCTGTTCATTAGCTCAATATGGAAAATTTTTCTTGTTACATTTTTCTGTGCATAAGTAGTTCAGTGTACTCGGGCAGTTAGATCACCATAAACCCTGCTGCAGCATAAGGGCAATCAGGATTAAGTCTCTAAGGCCCCTACAGCAGTGTTTCTCAACCAGAGGTCTGTGAGCAGGTTTCAGGGGGTCTGCGATTGAGGAATGAGGAGGTGGGAGAGTGGTGCTCGGGTGCTGGCTGCTTCCAGGTGGGGGGCTCACGCCAGGCGCTCTTCATGCTGGGCTTCTGCTGACTGAGCCTGGTGCTGTGTGAGCTGCAGGGGCAGCTGGTGCAGCAGTCTGGTGAGGTCTTTGAGTGCACTTCCTTGTGCAGCACTGCCCATCATGGCATGGTGCTCTCCTTCTGCCTGCAGGCCATGTGACCTGCTACTCCTGCAGCTCCCTGCAGGTAAGTCTATGTTGGGGGGCATAGGCAACAGGCTGGGGGGCAGGAGTTCTCCCAGCTTGCTGTGCCCACAGCAGGCATGGGGTTGCAGCTTAGCTGGATGGGCAAGGGCAGGAGCTGCCTCTGGCGCAGCAGGTGGGACCTGGCGCAGGAGGGCAGAGCAGGGCAGTGAGACTTGTTGCCACTATGGTTTCTGGGACCCCAGTTGTGCCACCAGCAGCATGATGAGTAAAGGGGTGGGGGGTACACTGCGCTCGCCTCCTCCCACTGCTGAAGGGGAGATGGGGTAGGAAGCAGCATGGGCGACCTGAGGGGAGTGGTTGGCTGCTGGGCCATGGCTCCCCTCTGCCCTGTACATGGTAGGGTTGGGGGCGGGGGGGTAGTGGATCGGTATTGAAGTCATGCAGGGAGGTGTGAGGTCCCACTCTTCACTACCAACCCACAAGTCCAAAAAGGTTGAGATCCACTGTTTTAGAGCACCTGCTCTGGGTGGCTGCAGGGTGCGGGCAGCTGCAGGTTGCTTATGTTTTCGTGCTATAATGCAAACATGTCTGTCGCAAAAAAGGGGCGCAATGTTTTACCATGTCTTGTGGCTACAGTTTTGGGTGTTTGTGGTGTGATAAGGGGCATGGATGCCCCTTTGCTTAGGCATTCATGCCCCTTATCACCATAAACATATTTTTTTGGCACAAAGAGGGGATGCCTTTTTTGCAACTTAAGGGCCATGTCCAGATGAACACGGCCATGTGGTATGTGGTGCTGCAGACACATCTGCAGCACCACATACCATGTATTCAGTTGTTCTCTGCACTCCAAGGGAGCAGCGCAAAGGGGTTTTTTGACCCCTGGAAAACCTGTGGAGAAAGAAGGCGGAGCATAGCACTCGTGGGTAGTGTGTGCCACTCAGAAGCAGAGTCAGGCTGTGCTGCGGCTGCCAGCTAGGCTGTGTGGCAGAATCACTGCTGTTGTAGCCCCAGGAGGTCCCCAGGCCCCAGGTAAGGCTGCTGGCGCCAGCACAGTGCTGGCTGTAGCCTCTTCTACTGTCGCCAGGGTAACTTACCATGCACCAGATTGTGCATGTGTGGCAAGTGTGGGATCTCCCCAGCCAGCCACAGTGCTGGCCTCCCACTGCCTCTGGGCATGCCACCCACCTATCTCACCTGCCATGCTTTGCTGTTAAGTAATTATAGTCTTAATTAGGCAGGAAGCTGTCCATTCTAGGCCCTGATGTCTAGGTCCTTTAGTACATGGTCCTACCTCCCCTTATGTGTCCCATGCCTTGCAGATGTCTCTTAACAACTGTGTAAAGCTCTGGCCTGAGACTGGGCCCAACTCATTGCAGTATTAGGCCTCTCGCAATCTGCCTTGTTATGGGCCAAACTCATACGGCCTTCCTCTGACTGAGGCCTCTCGCATACAGGGCTCTCCATACAAGGTTGCTGACTCGCCCCCTTATTTCTCTGTGGCTTCTCTGCCACCCTCCAATCGGCCTCAGGTGCCAGAAGGCTTACCTGGACCAAATTTGGTTCCCAAAGTTAACAGGACCTCAACTCATGTCCCCTACTCACAGGGCCTCAACTGGTTCAATTACTCAGATGCAGCCCATCAGGTGCTTCTCTGTACCTTCTCCTTCCCTGAGGCACATACTCAGCCCCCTTCTCTGGGACTTGGGGTCAAACACCCCTGCAGGCTCAGGTACCCCTTTTTGGTGTGCCTGGCCCAGAACTCTCCTTCTCTCCCCAGGGTTTTGCAAGCCTCTGGGCTCAGGTGACTTCAGCCATGCCTTGCTCCACTACCCACTCTGGGGCCTTGTGCCCCATTGGGTTCACGTGTCCTGCCTAGACATATGTGGTCCTAACTCCCTCTGATGTTACTAGTTGGCCCCAGATGGTGGGGGCAGGGGTTAAGGTGCCCTGACCTGCCTTTCACCAAGATGGTCCTCAAACCTGGTATTTGCTGGCCCTGCTCCATCATTGGCAGGACCACCTGCAATGCAGTCATGCCTGGGACCAGGAACTTTCAAACCACCCCATAGCTCCTGCCCTTACCTGTGTTGTCTCCAGAGCGCAGCTCTGCCAGGAGATGTTCCTTCCTCCATGCCAGGCAGCAATTGCTGCCTCCAGTCCTGCTGGCCTGAGTCTTAAGATGGCCGCTTATCAAGACTGGGCTGTGCCTGCCTGCTGCCTGGCCCACTTCTTAAAGTGGCAGAGCACCATGAGTGCTCTGACACATGCCTTCCCCCTTAAAATGATTTGGGGGATGGGGAGAGGCTGCATTTTCTCTGCTGCTCAGCCAACAAGCTCCCCCAGAGCTTGCCCCTGCTGGTGCTCTGCCACAGCGTGGCATGGACATTCCCCAGGGGCAACTAGTGGCTCTGTAAAGTGCATTGCTGCTAGTTGTTCCTGGGGAGCAAAACATACATACCACGTATGGACGTGGCCAAGGAGAGCAAGAGAAAGGTTGCATGAAAAGTGGTTGCGGGGGTATTTTTTTAAGTAATGGAAGTGCTATAACTATACTTGTTAATATAATGTGTGCTAGTGTCTTCTCTGCTCTTTTAGTTCTTTTAGAAGCTAATTCTAGGTTGTCTCCTGCATCTGGCTTTACGGTATTTCATGGCCTCAGATCCATTTATCCTTATACGACTATTGATCTGGACATAAAACAAGTGCAGTTTTGATGGATGATTTACTGGGAATTAACACTAGGAGGAAATGTCCCTGATGTACAACATTAACCTCCTTGTTCATACAGTTGGGAGTGAAAAGGTAGCAACTCGGACACATACTACGTAGTCCATACTGAATGTTTTCAAAACATTCGGTACATTGGAAAGTCATTTCTCCCCAGGAGTCTTGCTGGTTCATCTTTCCAACTTGAAAAGTGCACTTTGCCCTAAGGATTTATAGTGGTAAGAAGGCCTAGTTGGTATTGACCATTTTTCTGATAATCCTCAGTGTTGCCCTCCGTAATGTGACTAGGATTGTTATTTTTGTTACCTATATGGTATTGGAGCATGAACTTTAATTTACTGAATGCTGCAGTTGCAGAAAATTAGCATGTCCCCCTGCTTGTGCTCTGTGGATGGGATTTTAAATATATAGGAGTTTCTTGAAGGATATTTTAAACATTAGACATAAAGGGCATTTACACACATGCTCTGGCAGGCGGGGCGGGGGGAGGTAGGGGCACTTTGACAGCCGCTCTAATTAAAGTGACTGGGGCATCACGTGTATCGGCATCCTCATGGTGGAAAAAGGTTGGAGGGGCACTTTTGTTATTTAAAATTGCCAAAACTCAAATTAAGAGCGAGACCTTAAAAGGGGGATAAGGCAAAATGTCGTGTGTATTGGTTAGATGAAGCAGATACATAAGCTTGGACACACCAGTCATACAAACAAACATACACAAGCATACATACAAACAGATATACACAGATATACAGAAAAACCACTCCAGTAAGATGCTATAGTTATCAGCAGATGTTACTCAATATTAGCACTGGATAGCCGGGTCCAGGCTTATTGAGGGTGATAGGAGTGGGGGAAGAACAGACACGCATGTCTGTGCTCCATGAGGTTGCAGAGAGTGGATTCCACATCTTGGCTTGTCTGCATCTCACTTGTATAGGGATTTCAAGTCTTTGTTCAGCATTAGGGTTTTTCCATGCTCAGTCTTTAATTAGAGGTTGTTTATTCTTGTTATCTCAACTTGAGGTCATTCCAGTAAATTTGGTATCTTCGATGAGGTCATTTTAGTAAAGTTGGTTATTTCAAGAGTTTAATATTTTGGTCTTGATCTTTGCCTTGAAGCTTTGTGTTTTTGAAGTATTGCAGTTGGTATCTCTGCCTTGAAGTATTGTGTAGTTCAAATGGCAGAATATGCAAAATTCCTTTTTCTTACTATCTTTTTTGTACCTGATCACAGACAAGTTCTTCAGCCATCCATTAATTAGCTTAATTAGTTTATTGTATGGTAACTTATACATTGGCACCTTGTTGCTTTCAGAATCAGTTTAATCTTCTTCTGTTTTCATGCAAATAGTTACCATTTTTTCACCATTCACCCTCTCACAGGCACTCGCGTACACAGAGCATATGAATTTCATCTACTCATGTCAAGCAAGGGAAAAGCACAAAATGGAGTTTTAGTTGTTCGTACAATCATAGCGGTTGATCAGTTCAATACTATTATCATTTAAGCATAATAACTAATATGCAACAATTCATACTACACTTTAACTAAAACTTGTTAAACAAACTTTTTTCAGAGTGGAGATGCTGACGCACATGACACTGCAGTCCACTGGCGCGTGGTAATTGCCATGCTCTAGAAGACTCAGTTGTGTTGGAGCAGCCTCAATGCACTTGTATAGGTACCCAAAGAAGGATATAAAGATGACATGGAAGAATTTTTGCAAAAGCTTGAAGCTGACTTAATTATGGTGACAGATACCAGTTGCAACTGTTTGGTTTATATTTACAAGTCACTTAAAACTCTAGAAGTTTTTTTCTTTCAAATTTGGGATGTTACAACTCAAAAACAACCCAAACCAATAGAAATGACTGACTATTGGATCCACAGACTTTTGCGCAGGAAAATATTAAATGGTAATAATATTACCTATAATGTAAACTGGTTATAGAATAAAATGAAAAACCTCCTTGATTCTGTAATCCCAAACTTTTAGCTTGCCAGTGAAATGAAGAGGAAGGAATGCTGCTCAAATTGGCAGTTATTTCATCCAAACAAAGTTTAAATTGGCAATTTTTCAAACATTTAAAATTAAGTCAAGTATTGTGCAAATCAAAACACGTGTACTGATTTCAGGTTCTGTGGAATCTTGGATGAAAAGTTTTCTTTGCTTTTCTATTGAACAGGTTTAAAAAAAATTAAAGCATAATGTCTGGTGAAAGGGTAATAAATTGCTTGTGATTTTTAACCTACTTAAAAATTAGGTTTTTTTGGCTATGAGATTTGTTACTTTAGCCATGTCTGTATTAACATTGCATGCTAATGTTCTGTACGAGAAGGTAACTTTACTCTTTTCTTTTGGTTTTAATAGAACATTCAGATAAAAACTCTGGCAGATGATGTGGTAAGGTCCTCATGGCAACTTGGTTTATAATTGACCTATAGTGCATGCACTTGCTCAAAAAGCTGTGGACAATGAAACATATGCTTAAAGGATAAATGTTTTACTAGCTGGTGTCTAAAAAGAAAGTGCGCTACTGGAGATGTGTTGTGAAGAAAAACCTTTTTAAAACGTTTTGAATTTAAGTTTTAATACAGCAGTATGAATTTGTCCTGCTTCCTCGGAAGGCTATTTCAAAACACATGTACAACTCAAATACAATTGAATGGCCCATGAATGTGTAATTTCATTTACAATATAAACTCCAATCAGATTTCACTGTGGCTAAATACATAATTTACTACATTTCAAAAAACATTTTTGTCCCAACTTACTGTCATTCTAGACTGAATGATTTTGCTTTTTAAATATAGCAACAAAATCATACTGCCTATTTGGTGAAGATCTCATTGATCATGACTCAGAAATGGTTTTGTAACAGTTTTTAAAAAGCATATTATACTTTGATAGGGAAACTACAGAGATATGTTGCGAATTTTAATTTAAACACAAAAATGAAGCTTAACTCTTGAGGTGCACAGGTATGAAATATTCTGTTTAAAACAGACTAGTGACTTTCGGTTCTATTTGCCAATATTTATTGGGTGTGGGCACATAGTAGGGGTGAGCCGATAAAAATTATTTGGGCTGATACCAATGGCCAATTTACTAATGAGGCATATCGGCTGATACCAATCAGACTGCTGATTATGCAGCCCGAGAGCTTGGAGAGTAGCATCCAGCTGGTAAGTCTGTGGGGTGCAGGGAGGGATGTTGGGGGAGGGCAGATCAAGGGCCCCATGGCAAGGGAGGGAGAGGGGCTGGAGCAGGGACAGGCAAGGCTGGGCACAGTGTGGGACAGAGCCATGAATGGCTTGTCTGGGGGATGCAGGGAGGAAGGGGGGCAGCTTCTGCAGCTGTGCACACCCCTGGAGGAAGCATGGACCTGGATCTGTGTGAGGTGAGGGCAGGGTGCCGCTGTGGAGCACCAGGCTCTTCTTGGGGGCAGGCTGGGCCAGGGCTGTGCTTGGGGCAGGTGGTGGCCTTGGGGGGGGGGTACAACAAATTCTGGGGTAACTGTAGCCCACCCTGTAGCCCTGGCTCCCAGTACTGTTGCTGCCACCCTGAGCACAGCCCCAGCCCAGCCCAGCCCTCTTCCCCTGCCAGGAAGAGCCCAGTGCCACCTGTGGCTCCAGCCCACAGCAGCAGCCTGCCCTTGCCCTATGCGCAGATCTGGGGGGTATATGCTCCCAATGCCTCCCCCAAGGGTGTGAGCAGCGTCAAGAGCCCCCCCATTCTCTGGATGAGCTATTTGCAGCTCCATCCCATGTCCCATCCTGCCCTGTCCCGCCCTGCCTGGCTGGGCAATGCCTGCCCCTGTCCTAGTCCCACTCTCTCGATCTGCCCCCCCATGCCCCTTCCCCGATGCTGCTCTCCAAGGGCCGGGCTGGCCCCATGTGTGCTTCAGTTGCGCATGGGCGCGCAGCATTTATTGACGATGTTATTGGCCACGTCAACCAAAAAAAGCCGATTGCTGATAATGTAAATTTTCTTTTTATTGGTGCCAATGCAATATGGACCGATGTATCGGTGCACGTCTAGCACATAGATAAGAGGTGTGATGTGGCATATGTTTAGGGCATAGCCTCACCCAACATTTCTAGCAGGAATAAGGTGGCTTGTAGGGTTATTTCATGTATGAGCATGCACATGAGCAGTTGGTTTGAAGCTGATGTGCTGAAAGCATGTACCCTCCTTTTAAATTTTAGGGATTGATTCCTGTGCCTGTAAATTAGGAGATTGATTGGCTGAAGCACAAAGCTTATTTGAAATTATGCACATAGTAGTAGAGTGAAATGCATCTTAAATGGCTGAAGCAATCGGGGGTCGTGGTAGAGGTGATATCTTTTATTATACTAATGAGATTTCTGCAAGAAAAATGTCTTTAATTGCAAGCTTTTGGGCACAAGCACCCTTCATCAGGCATCAGATAAAAGAAGTTTTCCTGGGTAGAAATGAAAGTTCATATTTCATAGGATTTCACAGAGGAGTCAGTAGATGGAAAGTGCCTCTGGGCAGGCAGTTCTTAGCTGGTGAAAAGTCTCTCAGCTCTCCTGTGAGGCTCTGTTATGATGCAAATTACCTTGAATCAAGGCAGGAGCAGTATCTCAGGTTTCAGGTGGTCACAGTTGCTTTCTCCTTGGGAAAATATGAAGATTTCATTTTAAAAGTCTTAAATGGCTGTTCACTTGAATGCTGGTTGTTTACTAAAAAACTTATCTTACCACATGTGAGAAACAGAACTCTATTGGCTATATTTTACACAAGGTTGGGATTTCTTTAAGCCAGACGAGCCTTTAATTCTATATACTTTGAGGGGATATTAAATAATATGTAGATAGACATAATATCTACATGACAAGAAAAGTGGCAGCATCCTTTAAAGTTATGTTCTTGTCCACATATTTGACTACATTAAAAAGGGTGTGCAGTTTACCTAGGGTTACCTCTTTCAAGATGAGTTTGAAGCTTATGCTAGGGAAACCTGCCATTTTGTGCCCTACACAGCTGGAGTAACTCACTTGAGTAAACATAAAGTACAATTCTTTGTCGACTTTGAAACTGTAAGCCAGTTTTTGAATCCTTAATGTTCCTCAAATGTTAGCTGTAGATAACTTAAACTTCAGTCTAGTAATTTGTTTAACAAGCTCACATTAACTAGATGGAACAAATTGAGCTTACTTTCATAGAAAATGCTACAACATTTTTATATTTGTAACCCTATTTAAGCTGCTTCAAACCTATTGTGATTTCTGTCTTAATAAAAAACATCTTCATAAAGCTGTTTTGGATCTATAAAAACTACATACCCAGTGAAGTGTACTAATTTGTGCATGAGCATGTATTAGGAATTCACTATTTAGATGACTTCATTCCTGCCTAGCTTACATAGAGTAAAATAACAAGCTTTCTGCTTGTAAACTCCAGTCCCTAAGAATAAGATAATGTTTTGATTAGTATGGTGTCAAACAGCTTTATAATATAGTTTCACTTTCAATCGAAGTACAGATCCTTTCTGTTTTTTGTATTAACAAATTAACTGAGTGGTGTATGTGCTGCTAAAAGGAGAAAAAGGAATAAAACCTATTCAGTTTTAAACAAGTAACTTTATTGTAGTTTACATAAGTTCTTACTAACGTCTTTCGAACGCATTTAAACTATGAATGGCTACTCCTTTGCAATAAAACTATTAACAGGTTTGTGAAGCTGTTAATGACAAGAGACTGTACTTGAAACAATTTTTAAACAAGTCCTGACAAAAATCTAATCTGTGTATTCTTTTGGGAACTTTATTTTTATGAGGACATACTACTTCATTTTGATGAAGCTGCCAAACTGTATCAATTGAACTAACCTCTGAAGAGCCACAGCTTTTCAGTCAGAGGAGGATTGGATGTTGTTGATGAGAGTTATGTTGCCAGTGTTGCCTAGTGGAGAGAACATGCTATTCTGTCCACTAGGAAAATGTCCAAAGTTTTTCACACCTAAACATAGTGTTCCCATGAATCTTGGAAAGGAGTTAAAAAACAATCTTACAGGACATGATGGAAACTCATGTCATTCTTCTGGACTAATTTAGTTGAAGATGCAACAATATTTATTTACATGTTGAAGGGTGTATTAATAGTACAGTCTCTGTTTATTGACTATGCTGTTTAAATTAACCTTGGACATGTTTACAGCATCAATTGCATGTGATGTGCTCAATAAGTATTTATACATCCTTTTTTTGGTAATATACATGCAAGTTTAAATATCTTTTTATTTGCAGCGTGACAGGCTAACAAGTCTTAGAAAGTCAGCTGTGAAAAAAGAGAAACCTCTAATTCAGCATCCTATTGATTCTCAAGCTTCTGTAAGTGAACTTCCAGTTGCTCAGCCACTTATTGATGAACGTTCTATGAATTTATCCGAAAAAGAAGTTATGGACCTCTTTGAAAAAATGATGGTAAGTTCTTTGCTTCTAGTCATACTTCATATGCTTCAGTATTTTTGGATAGTGTTGCCCTTGGTGTTTCTGAATTACTCCAAAAAGTAGAAATTTCACTGCAGAGGTACGTTTTGAAATGAGAAGATGGACTAAGCTATGACTTTAGCTATTGGCTAACATGTTTTAAGGACTTTGTTCAGTTAAGGTAATATAGGTAGTAGAAGTTTCCCCAGTACTGTAGATACTTAAGAGTTGCCTGGATTGAGGTTGAATAGGAAGTATGGAGCTAGGGAGTCAGGATGCATAGTCTATTGGTTGAGCTGACTAGGTAAGGGACTTGAGGATAAGTAATAAAAAAGGAGAGTACTTATTTCCTCCTGTTTTATCCATTCATTTTCCAGATTCTGTTAATTTCAGTTTGCCACTGGGAGTCTTCCTAAACACATTGTATCATCATTTATTTCAACTCCTGATTGTCCAAATGGCAACTTTTGTTTTACAAGCCTGTGTTGTATAATAAACTTTAAAAAAAAGTTTTATTTAATATGATACTCTGCTTCAACTCAAGCTTGATAATGGAATTTACTTAGTATTTTAAAACACTTAGTCACTTAGTATTTTAAACAGTTACTTTAGTTACTTAGTCACTTAGTAACTTAGTATTTTAAAATACTTAGTCACTTAGTATTTTAAAACAACCTGTTTCCGAGTTTTACTGTAATGGATGTGCTGTCAAGTTTGATACAGTTTTACATGTCCCATATGTTGGCATGTACAGTTTCTCATGAGGAGTTGAATTTTAAATTTAACTGAAGGATTTCAGTTACTCAAAGGCCTCTTCAGTGTGTGCTTTCTGATGGGGTTAAACTAACTGAGGAGAAACTGTTTCTTTGCTACAGATGGAGCTTAGAATGTCTGGTGAAATAAGATACTTGACAGAGGAAGTAAGTCCTTTGAATTGGCTTCATGTTCAACATCTCCACTAGTATGTGAAGTGGTTATTAGAACTGTGCTCCATTGCCTGTAGACTTGTGTTACTATTGTCTCGTCTACCGGAGCTGCCTCTGCAAAGCATGTTCAGGAAGAATCTTAACAAAAAGCGATTACTTTAGCCTTACTTGCATAGGAAAGTCATTTGGATTAAGGCAGAGTGAGAAACTGAAAGAAAACCATTATTCTTGAGAGTCCCTGTGTAGACGTCCTTGCTTTGGAATACAATTTATTCTTAGTAGTTAAATAAACTCCAGAAAATTGAATGATAATGTGGAATAGATTAGTTTTTCAAAATAAACATACCTACACAGGGTTTTAGTTGCCACTAGTGTTTCAGTATACTTTCCTGAGTAGTCTAATCCTTCAGTGAAACTAGATAGAAATAAATTGGTTTACTACACAACTGCTTTAAATTGTTTAGGATTTTACATTACACTTACAGGTCAGGAAGAAGCTTGTACTTCATACAAGCCCCCACAGCAATACTTGCTTCTGTATAGAGCAGTGCTCCAAGCATACTATTAGGCTTTCTCTTCTCATTTCATATAGCATGTTATATAACTTAAACTCAGATGACTTGCCCAGTGCCACAAAGACAGCTTCAGTGCTGGTCAGCTCCAGCCCCAGGGGCCAAATGATGGGGCTCTGAAGGCTGGATTTTGCCTGCAGCCATCTTTGACACCCCTGGCATATGGAGTAGGGGAGATGATCCTATTTTGTTGAGCACTGTTATATGTATAGCATGAGATACTACTAACTTTGCCCAATTTGTTTTTGGAATTTGTCAAAGAAACCGTCTTAGTGTTTAGTCCTGTGAGTGGGAACAAGGTCTGCATAGCCACGTCTGTGGTAACCTGACCGAGGCAACTTATAAAACATTTCTTTATCTGCTTATGCTAGAAGAAATTCAGAATCAGAGAATAAAAATATATTGAATAGAATAATTAGGCCACATAATTATTCTTTGGATCACTCCATAATGCCACCTGCTGTCATATCAAATTGAAATGTCATTCATTTAAAACTCCTTTCCACTTAGTCTTAGTTGATCTGTAATATCTGTTAGTGCTTTCAACCTTATCCACATTGTTAGGTGTAACCAAGCAATAGCCAGGCCTTCTTGCTTGCAGACCCCTAATGATATGACTTTACTAAGCTTGTCTGGAAAATGCTTTTCCTTTGAACATCAGGCACTGTAGCATGACTGCATCTTCTAGTGTTGTTTGGGCAGTGTTGAACATTTTCTCTCTTTTCCTATTTTCTTGACTTTTTTGTTTCATAGTCTTTAAATTATGAGTTCCTTAGCCAGGGTTGTTTTGCCAGACCTTGGAAAGCATTCGATATATGTTAAGTACTGTCATGACTATGTTAAAATGGTCCTCTGAGTTTCAGACATGAATGAGTCTGGGACCTAATTCTTTATGGAGATAGTGTAGGAAATATTTAAAAACATATGTTTCTACAAGTATAATGGTTGTAGTAAAACTTTGATATTTCGTGGTATGAGATTTAAAGAAAAGCAGTTAACCAAAATAGTAAATTGTTTTTTCTTAGTTAAAACAAGTGTTGATGTGAAATGTTGAACCAATTTATGGTTTGTAACTATCTTGCTAATGGACTGTCTGCTGAAGATGGTTGTTTATAGGCAGGTGGCTTTTGACACAACTCCAGTTCGCTCATTCCTCATGTCACTGTAAATGTTAATAACTGCGTTTCTTGCTTGTAAAAACACACTCTTTCAAAGTTAGAATAATGGAAATATCTAGATTTTGAAGTTGCATAATAACTTGAATATCAATTTTTTAACTTTGTTACTTTTGGAGTGATCATCTTTACAGTCATCTTTACAGTGTAGCACAAAACTACTTACTATGCCATTTAGAACTTAAAGGTGATGAACTGACTTTCTGCATGGAGTGAAACACAGAACTGGAAGTTGTGTGGTGGGATTGGAGGGGGTGCTACTAGGCTGAGCCACCTGCATCACTTTGCCTGACCAAAACCCGCTCCAGCTTTCTCTTGGGGTGCCTACATCTGGCTGACCCTCTTCCGGGAGCACACCCTCAAGCCTGGGGTAATTGCTGCCACCACCCCTACTCTGGTCTTTGTTAGGGCCCTCTGCAGCCCAGGCTACACAGACCTTGGGGGTGCTTTGTCCACTAGTAGTATTTCTGGGTGTTCTTTATAGCCTGGAGCCACCCAGGATGTTTTCAGGTAAGACAGAATCAGATAATAATCAGCCGAGCTCTGCTAGGAGCAAAAAGGCCTGTCCCTCCTCTCAAGCATTCACCATTAGGTGTGCTGTAACAGATAGCTTTTATTAATCAGAGAGGGAGAGAATGGGGAAGGAGTACAAGATCGAAGAGTATTAAAAAAAAAAAAAAAAAATGCCTTGAGCAAAACAGAATGGGCTTGTTGGCCCCTTTTAACATATGACTAAAGATACATAACCCTAACTTACTGGCTAAACTTCAGGTAGGCTACTTACAGATAGATCCAGAGGATTCTGGAGGCCCAAGGTTCTGTGTGCATTTCCAAAATGCCTGCTGGAGGAAGCCCCCCAACCAGGTGACCTGACCCTTAAATAACTGTTCTGCCTAATTACCCGGCTTCAACCAGAAACAGGCATTATTTGAACCCTGCTGATGTGGTGAACAACCCTCGGTGGAGTGATCGGGGTCACCAGACAGTTCCACAGGTTACTTGCCTGGAAATTTAAGACAAAGGGTATGGACACAGTAAGGGGGAATGGGAGGAAGCCAAGCATACAACTCAAACAAGATGCACAGCAAAACGGAGATAGTCAAAAGGGAATTTCTTCACAAGGTGAACAATGCTGGATTTTCTTACAGTTGCATTAGTAAGAAAAGGTACTTGGTAAAGTGAAAATAGGCATATGCAAGTAGGCTGAACTAAGGTTGCCATGGTGAAATGACAATTGGAAAAATGAAGCTTTAAGTATATTTCACATTCCAGGTGATACAAAGTACAAGATGCAAGTCAAATGGAGAATAGTCTTATGGCTTCTTTATTTCAATTTGGCATGTCTAAAATAAAGTAGTTATAACTTCCAGATAGTGAATTCTGCTTATGTATTATCTTGCATGGAATATGGAAAAGTACTTCTGAATTATTTGACACTCCATGTAAGTATATGCCAGTTAATTGCTGCTTTTTTGAGATGATGCAGTAACTCCTGAAGGAGTAATTGGGTTATGGAGCAGTAGGTTGGCAAATGGGTGGGATTACTACGTGAGGGGATTCCAGGAATTAAATGCCTCTAGGGCAGAGGGAGCTATCTGCAGTATGATTGCCTCAAGTGACATAAGCAGTTTCTGTGTGTGTCACTGCACCAGATAAGGTAGGAAGCTGAAGGCAGAGCAGATCAGTCAGGGAACACAGGGTACAAAGCAGACCAAGGAGATTGGACAGGGGTCAGTGATTGGAGTATCCCTCAGATGGAGTGGGGCTCATCTGTGGCATGTGTCAAAAAATTTGACCTCCACTGCTGTAAGAAAAAGCTTGTCAAAGAAGCTATCTTTGACAAAAATGTTAAAGCAGGGTGTCAAATATTTGGCCCATGGGCCAGATCCACCCAGTGTCATCCATCTGTTTGGCCTGCCAGACTACCAGCATGGCTTGGGGAGTGGCCTGCTACAGAATCCAGGGCCTTCGGGCCCCACTGGATAGGGCAGTCAGAGCCAGGAGGGCAAGATGAGGGTTGACACAGCTGCTTTGCCCATCCACATTGTTATGGCCCTACCTTTCTGGTTTGTGGCCCTGTCAGATACGTGTGCTGGAGCCAGAGCAGGAGCTGCTGCCACTGCATGGGGCACATGATGATGTAGGTTCTAGCTCTGTCATGGGCAGGGATCCTAGTTTTCTCTTTTAAAAAAAATAATTCCCAAATTCTCTGATTTTTAAAAAAACCCCAATCTTGCGTTTTTCTATGATAATAAAAGGAAATGCTACACATGTGTGTGCACACACTCAATTGAACACAGTGTTTTATTGATATGTTTATA